ACGTTATTGTGTTTTCATCTTTAAAACATCTTTTTATCTTTGTAAGACTCTAATTCTTACCGGGAGATGAAATCATTGGTGTATCCGTCGTCGTGTATCCCACAATTCCAATTCGTTCCCCACCAACCTGTGCTATGTAACTTTTCTTGATGTAAGGAGCAATGGATGGTTCTAGAGGAGTATTGATGTTAGCACCGAGGACAGGGACATTTACTTCTTACAAAAATGGCAAAAGACCCTCGATATTGCGATCAAACTCATGATTTCCCAAAGCCTGAGAAAGGCGAAAGACAAAACATAATTATCTATTATGCGGCAACTTATTTTGAAATTCCTCTTCCTGAGAATGAACTAAGTAATAATAATATAAATTGGTTATTTCAAAGGAAATGGCTTACAAAAGGGTGAATTTTAAACGAATTATAAATCAAGCGCGTTTAAATGCTTATGAATGCTAAAATCATTTCGTCTAAACTTACATTTTTTTTTTAAATTAAAATGAATGATTCTTTTTCTTTAAAAAAAATTTGATTTAAAAAGACCTGTCTAGATATTAAAAACAAATTTTTATATTACATTCACATGAAATATTATAATAGGAGTAAACAAAATTTGCCTAAAACAAACAAACAAACAAACAAACAAACAAACGACAAAAGTAACATATTCCAAGACATGTAAAATAAGGAAAAAAATCAGGATCATTTCAAAAAGAAAATGGTCTAGCTATTTTCTCTCATTTTCTTTTGATCAAGACCAGGAAACTTTCTTATATTAATAATTGTATAATCTTTTACATATGTGTTATTTTTAGGGCAAAATACACATAAAGGTTGCTGAAAATATTCATACACATTTTTTAAGATTTAATGACACAGCTAATGATTTGTATAAACGATAAAATGTATTGTTTACCAGGTGTTTCCACCCTCACAATTTTAATGGTTCAAAGTACAAAAAACTGCATTTATTTTCATTTGATATATTACTTTATATGTACCAATTATTGCAAAAAATGTATAGGTCACCATATTATTTAAGATGCAAAACATAAATAAACAGAAGTGTATGTCAACACAAAAGATCGCACATTTTTTGTAAACAGTATTATGAAAAATCGGTAAAAACTGGTTAAAATGCATAATTCTAATGCTGAATGTGCATAAATACTTCCTACTTATAAGATACTTTTGAATTGTCAATATCAGGGAAACTATAAACAATAAAGCAAATGCCGGAATGAAGAGACATTAGAAGGAGTTATTGCCCTTGTCAATATTATTTTAAGATTGAATAAATGATTAAATAAAGAAATATGCATTTTAAAAAAAAAAATCTTTCACTTAACAATATTTATCATTACACTTATTGTAAAGCATTCTTCCAAAAGATATTGTTCTATTATGTATGAATTTAAACTAATTACAGTTTTTGTAAAAACCTATGACATCAAAGGAGGGTGGAATTACCTTATCTATACATGAAATATACAAACAAAACACAGCAGAACAAAAAGAAACAGAAAAAGAACAGGAACAAAAAATACTTCTACCCCCCCCTCCCCCCACAAAAAAAGAAATAATGAATTTATATTGTGAATTCCTCGAAAATCATGATAAACTTTTGTATCTGTATTCGATGTTTTCTGTAAGATTCTAAGAGCATGGTACGAGGAACCAGAAAAAAGTCGATCTATACATAACTTCCTATGATTAGTATATTCTCATTCATATGAATATTTTTGAAGATTTATGTGATTTTAGTTTTTAATTAGCACTCAAGAAAAATCTGAAAAGTATGGTACGCTAAAATTAAAATTCACTGGGATTTTGGAGCCGTTTGCTATCGAATCATTGTTGAGGGATCATCATATTTTTAACTGGATTTGTTACATCGGTTTTGATTTATCATTTTTTTTCCCTTTGAAATTCGCAAGAAGTTGATGCTTAAAATGTACAAATCATTTATATGATTTATAAGAAAGTCATCAAAATACGTCTTTGTATGACGAAGATACAAGTAAAAACTATCTTATTAAACAGGAGAACTATTTGAAGGAATTGACGTTTTTGAAATTATTTCAAAAAATGAATTAAACAGGGTCTTCTGTGAATAAAGACAAGCATACCATTAATTTAAACAGCTGTAAATAAGTAAAGGTGAAGATTCCGATCGATTAAAATGGAATATAAATATAAAAATAAATGAATTGTAATTCACGCACAGAATTTTCTTAATGATAAAAGAAGATACAAAACATTATCAATATACAATTTGAATAATATTTTAGACATGGCAGCACTCTGTCAATATTTTAAGGATTAGGAATTATTCTATTACTTGTGAATTGTAATTTTGATAAATAAAAAAAGCCACAGATGAAAAGAGTTACTGTACAGTTTTAATCCTTTGAATAGACGACTTAAAGGTTTATGTTAAAATAAGCACTCAAGACATGAAATAGAAAAAAAAAACCAAATTATTCTCAATGTTTTTTGTTCACATTACCATTGCACCATATCCCAGTTCTGTCATTGTTGTAGAAGTGATGCTTCCGCCATATTGGTGAAACCACAGCCTTCATTGAAACTGGTCTCCTGCATCCAACAAAAAAGTATTGGAAAAATAATTTCTAATGTCTTGTACTATTGTTTTCATTCTTGCCACACCACCGTAACAATGAATCCAACATTCTCGCTCTCCATAGTCACAACTTTCTTGTACATGTGAGTGAACATCATTCGTATGTAGAAGTGTTAGATTAAAGGCTGCACAAGTCCAAAGCATTATACACGATAAAAGACAAATTGATCCAGAAAAGGAAATATTAAAACCAGCTATTGTAATATATATACAAAACTAGCGGACGAAGACAATCTTCTCAGTAAACACAGATATACAAGTTCAGTTCATTTTCTTCTCTTCAGCGATAAGAACATGTGAAATAAGCGCAAACAGAACTGTACTTTTTTCTCGGGTGTGTTTGTAATGAATATGTACTTTAGAGCACACACTTTATTTACAACTTGCAAGAGTGGGAAATTATGCAGCGATCTCATTTAAGCGTGAAGCTGAATTATAGTACTATTGATTTCTTTCAAATTAGCCGATTTCATTTGCTGTCGATGATGTAATGTTTTAAAAACCGCTGGAACGTAAAGAAGACATGCACTTTGAAGTGATTTGTTTTTCTTGTTCGGACTACACAAAACGTAAAATGAGAGAGATTTATCTCTCTTTCTTATTCATGCATATACATTTCGGAAGAATATTAGCAACCAAAAAAATAATGATAGAATTAAAAAAAACATAGATCCACTAATAAAAGAATACATATCATACTTAAAATGTTTTTATTATGGAGGGCGAAGTTTCTAAAGTAGTGAAAATAATCTGGAATTCTCTTATACTCAAAAACTACTAAAATATGAAGACCTTTTTCAGCCTGTATTTCATTACCATGACTCTTAGTGAAGACATCAAAATTGGACTTTAAGAACTAAGTCTCGATTCGATATTCATGGTTCTCTGCTATGTTAAGGAAGGTCAGAGTTCACATTCCTTGTATATTGTATTGGAAGTTTAATTTGACGTCATCGAAATTTAACAAGCCACAAAAATTAATTGACGACATGACCTTGCGTAAATAACAACTTGAATTTATTTATTGTATCGATTATTTATAAAATCTTTTAAAATCGCAATACTTGATAGCAATACAGTCGAGTAATAGAAGAAAGCCTTTCTTCAAATATGACGTCATCAGCCTTGACATGACGCAGCACAGGTGATCCAGAGGACAAGATTCAATGATTTAATAATTACAAGAATGCTTAAATAAATATGATACCATTGCTAATTTTTAATCTAATCAATAAAACTAAAAGAAAATAATTTATTAATTACAATGTGTATAGAATGTGAATTTATCTAGTAGCATTGAAGCTGCACAGGGATAGGGAATGTAGAGAATATCGCTAAAACGATGAGCGTATTCGTTATTTACATCAAAAGTGCAAGGGCATACACTATTTTGTTTGATCTGAAATTTTGAATATTTATCGCTTTCTTGAAAAACAAGCGTATGCCCTTGCACTATCCCCATTTTCTAGATTCAGCTTAACAATTCTATTTTTATACAAGTCACGTGACCAACAGCTGATACGTGCGATATAACTGGTAATAAGTACGGCCAAGTCCTATCCATCATTGATAGCTATATTACATTTTCTACAAGTATTCAGTTGCTTTGTTACAATTTTTAAAAGAAGTAATACATATTTAAATGAAGCAAAGGTTCATTTTTCAATATCGTTCCTGAACATAGCCGAGTTGTTATGGAAATTTGGGACTTGATCATTTTACTTGTAATAGGACAAGGCCATATTATCGATAAAGTGCACCTAGTTTTTTGTAAAAAAAAAAATAAATAATAAAAAGTAGACCCAAGTAAGATTTTTCTATTCATTGCTGATATGTATATCATTATCATTGTCTTTCATTGCAAATTTATTGTTTTTAAGGTATTATTGTTCGAGTAAGTTACAGTTAAAGGATAAAAAACCAATGCAACATCTGTTCAATGTGAACATTGATTTTGATTTTCATTTATGACGTTGCACTTCCGTTGACCTTGCCGTATAAAATATAAAAGTTCATAGTTTGTGTATAGCATATTTTTTAAAATGATTATTTACTATTAGGATTGTAGGAAAAAATGTTTTTAAAAAGTAATGGAAATGTTTCTTTTAGAACATGTCTTAACTTTAGCTTGAATGACAACTTGTTGATCGCAATTTAACGACAATCTTTATACATTTGACCTACATGTACATGGTTTAAACTTATGTAAAATCTTTGACCGTTACGGGAATTGTATTCAAAATATATACCGGGTATATCTTTTTTACGAAATATCGCTGTGACAACAGTCATGCCTCACCATGAAAAATAAATAAGTACATCCACTTGAACATGGTCATACAGGAAAACAACCTCACTATTATCGTAAAAATTTTAATAAAAACATTCAAAACAAGAAATGTCAGAACAGAATCTGTGGCACAATGAGTTTCAAAAACACACACTAACACAAAATACATCACAAGCAAAGAAAAATATGCACTATTTAACCTTGATGTATATACTAAGGTTGAGAACACACGAGTGAGAAATAACATACTGGAAATGAAATGCATCTGAATAAAAAATATTATCAACGCTTTAAATTTTAACGTTTAAATATAAACTTGTGTACAAAACGTCAAAATCTAGCAGTGAAAATGATAAATGATAGTAAACAATAACGATAATATAGTGTGGTAGTTAGTCCTTGTGGTTTCTAGGCCACTGCTGATTCCACATGGATAGTTATCGTCCACGAACTCTATCCTGTCCTCCATGGCGGTATATAATGGCGACATGTCCCTGACGTAGGCAGCGAAAGCATCTGTATCCAAATTTCCTGCAGGTAAACAATAACATTTTTTATAACTTTAATATTTTGATAAGTTTATGCATAAAAATATATTAATATATTTATATAAATATAATATAGGAAGCAAGCGGTTTTAAATTACTAGAATCATATATAAAATATTATATATTTTTAAAAGTACAAAAGCATCTTTGAAAATTTGAAGATTAATACAGTATCATGAGATTAGAATTGTTATGTATTTTTCGTTGATTTCCTTAACCTTTAAACTGTCTCTTTACTATAATTCAAAACAAAAGCATAGCGCATCTGATAAGCATTATGTGAAAAATGAGGTAGTAAATAATTTTTTTTTTAATTTACCTTTTCAGTATATTTTTTTTTTATTTAGTATAATTGCAATGAAAATCTACGCCTAATTGCTATTTAGACTTTCTGCCACATAATAGATCACTGTTATTGTGTTCACTCAGTAGAAACATATTTTTGATATGTTGATTAAAGAATACATGTGATACAATCAAGTCTTCTTTAGAAAAATTATTTATTTAAACGTGACCCATATAATAAGATTAACATATAAAAATTATACCTAAATGATTACTTACCAACTACATGCTCTTGTCGGGCATTGTCTTTGAGAACTGTATAACCATCCCCGCCAGAGAGTATAAAGTTGGTCAAAATTACCCCGTACATTTTATTGTTGTTTAGTGGTTCATATTTTGGAATATTACAGTCTGAGCATATAGCTTGCACATCTACAACTCTCTGGTTTACCGGTTTATTTAGGTTGTATTTCACCCTTAATCCTGAAAAAATATTTTTAAACATGTACTATATGTGAACGAAAAGAAATAAAAAGAATCTGCACAAAATGCAGTTAACCAAAAAAGAAAAGAAGGAAAAGAAACATCAACATCCTTCTAAAGTGAAACATTGTATTTACATGTACATCATATGGCTTTCGAGGATGACATACCGAAGTATCTGAAGGTGACACGAAAGCCCTGAAGTGTTATGTCATCCGATGCCGAAGGCAGGGGGTAATATTATATTCCAGGGCTTTTCTTTACCCAACTTGCAAATAATCTGGTAAAGTTTCCCGAGATGCCATGTGGTATATGTCATATAACATTTTTAAAATAAAATATCCCGTCTTAAATCGTTTAGATTTAGACAAATGATCCAAAGTGTTTTCTTGAGCGTAAAAACTACGCTCCATTTTTTAATAAAAGTACATAGATAAATTCATAGAAGGCAGAAATTTGTATTTAAAAGGAACTTGTTACAAAAATTACAAACATGTACCAGAATAACACGTTGTGAATATGCATAATATCTTTACCAGAAACCTGTAGAAATCCTCCATCTGGTTTAGACACACTATGTAAGGAAGCACTGTGCTCCAACGCTGCACGTAAATATTTTCCCTGAAGCTGAATGGTCTCCAGAGTACCACGAAAAGGTTGTGCTTCAGATATGTTTCCCATCAATATCTGCCCTTAGAATGAAACGAAGTTGAGCTAGTAAGGTCTTTCTTCCAAGATGTACGTATAATTGTAAACAGATCTTAGTTATGAATAAGAAAAAGCAATTTGTAAGACATGTTTTTTAAAAATTGACTTGGAATTGTTCAAAACATTAGTTCGCGGCTTACCAAATCTTTTCATTTTTTCTTAAATATCGAATTTTGAGCACAAAGCAACTTTAAGGCTTTGAGCTACATTAATGTCCAATCGTAAAATGCGAGTATACCTCTTGTTTATTTATTTATTTTTTTTACATAATTCAGAGAATAAATCTAAAAACTCCGACATTTAATAAACATAATAAATTTTAACACTAAAATTTTTAAGATGTAAGCTTACTTAAATTTATAATGAGAGAAAAGATACGGATTCAGACCAATTGAATTCAAAATTTTTAAAATCAAAATGTGTGGATTTTATATCATATGTGGATTAAAACCCGTTAACTCCTGATAATTTCTTCGAAAAAAATATGTGTATATTTTAACGTTACATTTTACCTCATCATTTAAGTTATAAATATGACAATGAAATCTAGTATACACATTAAAAATGAGGTTTTATGAATATTCGTAAAGGCTTTTAAAATGAACTTCAATTACATATGTGATTTCCGGATAGTAGTATACTTATATCGACACACGTTTCAGGCGATTTTAACAAAAATAGAAGTCAAGCAAAATATATCGTAGTAGGTTTTAATACTTTGTTGATAAAAAGGCTAATTTGAAGTTATAAAATTTATGTCAAAATTAGTTCTAAGAATATGTTCATCAAGTGGGGAATCGGGGAAAGTTTGATTAGGTCTACACAAGTATCCAATTTTGTGCATTTGATTAGAATATTCCAATAGTTAGATTCAGAGATCCATGCTTGCTCTGATCTTGAATTTGTATTGTTTTATTGACTCTGGGACTTGAAAACCGTTCGATATCTCCATATATTTCATTCTAAAAATATTTGTCGTAATTAACGTTATGGAACCTTCCATTTCAAAGTTTATTGTCTACATATTATTTTCATGGTTTAAAACGTTGACATTTGATATATATAGCAATAAAAGACAATGATTAAGTGTCTAGTTTATGTTTAAATATCTCTAAAATATATATAAATAATGGTTTCTTTCAATCTCTTAAGACAAAATGATACATCTTAATATAAGTACATTATATTTACAAAAAAATCCTTAAATAATAAAAAAAAACTTGTCTTTACCTCGTGAAAAAGTCGCCCTAATAGATCCTCCATTGACCAGAGCAATGTAGACCTTAGTACCGTTGACGTCATCAGCATCCTTCAAGTTATGGTATACGAAACCGTCAGCTATAGCATTACCTTTGAAATATACAGATAATAGCCGTAAGAACTACAACAGTCGACAGAATGCGTAGTAACTTCTCCAGTTCATTTTTACTGCATTATTATACTAGCATGTATGACTGCAATATTTGAAATATTGGAAATTTCTCATTAAAGAAAAAATGATTTTTTTTGCCTATAACATCATTTAAAACGTCTGATGCAAATCTGCATGAGAAAATGTCTTTTTTTCCATTTAAACTCAATCAAACTACACTCTTAGTATATTACTCTAAAAATGAATCTATTATTTTATTTAAAATGAACATGTTATTTTCAGAGAACATAGGAGTCTCATATACCCATGTTGCATTCTCTCAGGCGACATGGCGTCGCTCCCTCCAAAGTGACAAGTGTCCGACCCACTACCCTTTTTGCAGATTCTTTTATAGCGCTGTACAAAAGTTCTATCTTGCCT